CAATTGAGTGATTCAAGCACTTTTGATGTTGGCACATTGCATTTTTAAACCAACCCCTGCCCCCCTATTGAGGAATGCAGAATTTCCAAAAGCCACACACACACACACACGCATACACACACAATGGGAGGGTGGGAGGGTCCAATTTTTAAGGCAAATCTGTGGAAATTCCACAGACTAGGTCTAACTACTGCAGGAATGGAGGGGAGTGCACCCCCTAGCCCTGGCCAGAAGTGGTGCAGGGGGGGGATGCTATTTTTCATGGTAAAGCAAAAAATATTAGAGATCAATGCGATACAGTAATTTGAGTAATAACATGATGATAAACAAACTCTGAACAACAATTACATAATACAATAGTCAAGACTTTGCAGTGGTCAAGCGAGTTCATGGGCAGTGCACATGACAGACACAACTTGGCACCAGGGCTGGCAGAGCACCACCCTACCAGATCATCCTGGATCCAATCCCTGAAAGTGACTAAAACTTATAAAATAATTTTCCATGGTATCGTCAACAATGGAAGAGAAATTCCAGAGGTATATACGTAGGTTAAAAATTAGCAAGAATTTTCCAAGAAATAGCTACTAATCGACTGCCTCGTCCCCAGTCGCTTTCAAATGGGGGAGAGCTGGAAAACAAGAAAAAATTTCTTTGTTGGGCTTGCACAGAATAACTGATTTATATAGATAGCATTTCACTAGACTAGATGGACTAAATAAATAAATAAGGAAATTCCACTACATGACTAGGCCAGAAATTGTCAAGGAATTTCCATGGGATGGGTAAAAAAAAAGATGTGTAAATTTCACAGGGAATGAAGGCTAAAAATTCAATAAAAATCTGTGGAAATTTTACAGGGGAGGCTACAAATTCACTAAAAATTTGCGAAAATTCCAAAGGAGGGGGACCAAAAATAGATGCAAATCAATACTCAATAGGGGAGTTTAGTTTAGAAAAATTTATGCAATGTGTCATAAATATTAATATTATCACATGTATATTGGGTGAACTTTCACATTTTAATCAATAATTCACATCATTCAGTGTAAGGGACTAAATCAGTACACAGATCTTTATAATATCTATCCAATACAGAAGTTAGCTATTCATGTGTTTGGTCTTGCACAAGAAGAAAATATAGAATATAAATGAAACAGTGTACACTATTTCAATTGCAAATTAGTAACAGTCAGGGAGGCGAATAAATAGTAAATATAGAAGTATGAAACTTATAAATACCTGGTAGTGGTTACTGAGTTAGCTTCGTGAGATGCCATGTAAAAATACGTCAAAAAAATTGGAAAATGTTGAAGCAAATTCCACGTAATGGCGACGACGAGAAATCATGCAAAATCAAGTCGTCGTAGAGACGACGACAACGCAAGTTCATAATACAATATGCAAACTCAGCAAAAAAACAGCAACTTTACTTCCGGGTGGTCGTCGTCATCGCGATGACGCAGTTTGCTTACGGTCGCTAATACCGAGAAATATCGACATTCCCATATATCGAAAATTTCAATATCGAATATTCGGTATTTATAAAAAAAGCAATAATTATTGGTATATCGATATACCGCAAGAGCCTATCTTATTGGTAAAAAGCCATTTTTTGTGCCAGAGTCTTGTTAAGCACAATACAGAGAGTTGCTTGAACCGTCTGAAGTTCACTTACCTGTAATACCCTCTCCCATGCGAGCAAGTACAGTCGGTGCCAAGTAGGAAATCCCTGTCCGCCATGTGCAAAGTCGATGTCGACCCTCGTGACATTATGCGGGTAAATAGTGTCACGGGCCGCGTAGTAATGTGTCCATGTGAATAGGTCATAGTTACTGACGTTGTAAAATAGGCCGCTCGGATCTTCGTCTGCTTCGACGGCTTCGTTGATTTCTTCATAAAATTTGGTTGTGACAACATAGTCGCTTAAAAGGTATTTGGACTCATTAACATATCGCATATAACGATCTTTCTCCTGAGCGGACAACTTTAGAAAATTTCTCCGTGTCAAGGTTTTCTTTTTCGTACAGTAGACGCCACGGTAACCGAACTCGCATTTGCCACAATCGTAACCACCAAAATTGCCGTTGCATTTGCAGGTTCTGTTATAAAGAGCGCGTGGCCAGTTGTGACGTTCGTCGTCGTTCTGGAACGGTTCAAAATGGCTGTAACTGTAATTCCACTTACGGATAATCAATTCCTCGCATGTTCCTCGGTTCCCATCGCTACCACATGGCTCAGAAAAATGTTTCGGGATTGGACAACATGTCTTGTTTTTTAAGCTCGCAAGGGAAGTACAAACTCTAGGAAACTGACCTTCAGTCCACGGTAAGACAGCAGCAACGAGTAGAAAGCAGAAGATGGTTTTCACGGTGTTCATCTGCATGGTGGTCATTTGCTAAACTTCAGATACGATTCAAGTTTCTTTTCTAATGGTGAAAATAAGTAAATTAATAATCCTTTAAGAGTAAATTAATAATCCTTTTCTACCGGTAAATGAAACGACCAAATGTCCTCTTAACTTCCTTGACTTAGTTCCGCTATGCAAATTTCAAATCACTATCATTCATTTCTTTAGAAAGTCTTTGTGTTTACGGTTTATAACAGGGAGGCGACTGCATGCATAAGGGATGCCTTTACAATATCACACGACATGCATGCAGTCGCCTTTGAATTTCTTATTGTTCCCGTCATAAACCGTAAACACAAAGAATTTCTAAAAAAATGAATGATAGTGATTTGAAATATGCAGAGCGAAAAAAAAGGAGAAATTTCGTTCTCGACCAATTAATGCATTTGCCAACTTCGTTCCCAGGGTCTTTCTTAGAACGGCGCGCTAGGCGAAGGAAATACCCTGGTTTCGGCTGGTCACGTGTCACCCAGATTATGGGTGATAAATTAAAATTAAGGCGGTTTTCCAGTCCTCGCACGAAGCTACTCGCAGCGCTGCGAGTGCTTGCATCTAATTAAAATGAAGTGTTTAGCATTGTGATTGGATGAAAGTGCTCATGCATCACTCGCAGCGAGGTGTGAGGAGCTTCGTGCGAGGACTGGAAATCCGCCTTTATACTATGGGTATGGTGGGAGAGAAGCGCGTTTGTCGCTTTGTAAAAATATTAGCAACTTTGTGTGATGAAATTTAAATTTGCAACAAGAAATCGTTATGCGAACTGCAATTAAAAAGTATTTTTTATCGTGATGTGACTTCCTACTCTGTAATCTAGTGTCGAATTACAATTCAAGCAAGTTAGATCAGATTTCAACTTATAGACATGCCAAAGGTGCTGCGTTGGCAATAAGCCTACAACAAAAAAATATATCTCTAGGCCGACCAATGTGGTTGTTATTTATAATATTGTTAGTATTAAAGTCTATCCTGACACTCGGACCAAAAGAATTTATTTATTGATGATATGTGGAATTGCGACGAAATAGCGAGATCTTTTGATTTCCAAAATATTGCCAAGACGCCAATATGAAAGCCCATGATAGCTATCTAGTTATTAAGTGATCAAAAGACTATAAAACTTCCTGCATTGGCCCTTGCCCTTGGCATTGCTGAAACTCAACGATCATGGTATATGTCAAAGTCTAGCTGTCTGTAGGAAATCTACGGTATTAAAATCATACATCGAAGACAAGTCGAACGACAATATATTATATGTCTTTCAATGAGCACTGTTTAGTAGTGTTTACCACATATATAAATTTTATAAACAGTTTTCGTTTTGACACAAGCTTTAATGTTTTGCTTTTTAAAACACTGTAGCTATATACCGGGTGGGTGGGGCAAAAAAAAGTACGACTGTTTGAATTGCTGAAAAATCAAAACTAAAAGAACAATGACACTAAAACAAGTTTATTGGCATTCAGCGATATCCAACCGTTAAATTTTGGTATGTGCCATGTACATTTCGATGCCATATTGACAAAGATACATTCATTTAAACAGGTGTAAACATTTTTGGAACTGACGAAATTAGCTAAAAATGGCTTATTAAATATTAATGCAGACAACATGCAATAACTTGTGTTGAGACACATTACACTTTATTGTCAGTACGTTCGCGCTTGTGGTTAAAAAAACAATCGTCTATATTCATCAGTAAATGCATGTCCCCAGCACGAATGCAACGTCTTGCCCGTGAAATCATACAATCGAAAGAATTTTGGATCATTTCCTGTTTCAAGTTGGGGCATGCTGTAACAATCGCTTCACGAAGCTCTCTCAAATTGTGCTTCAGAACCAGAGTTATTTGAATCGCATATATAGACTTGTCTCAATCAGTTGGAGGTACTCTCTCGTGTCGATATTTCTCTTAAGAATGTTTGGACCCAGAACAACTGCATGACCTCGTCAAATCAACCCACTAATTGAAACAATAATCGCAAGAAAATGGTAAAGGTTATTCAATTGGTTTTAATAGGGCCTTTTCAGCTAATTCCCGGCGCTTCCAAAAAGGTTTGTTTAAGTTTAAACACAGTTATCTCAGTCAATATTGCATGAAAAGGTACAAGACATATATCAAAATTTAAGTTAAACATCGTGGAATATACGGTGACTTATTTAAGTATAATAGCTCTTTTACTTTTTAAGTTATAGTAAATCAAACTGTCGTACTTTTTTTGCCCCACCCGGTGTATTCTTAATAATATACAAGTGAGATTTTAATTTTTTGCTTTGTGGAATAGAATACCGTTATTTTTTAATGGACAGCTTGTATCGTCTCTATCATATCCAGGATTGCTTGTGTGTAAATGCATGTATCACTATGACACTCTCAAATAAATACTATATACTAGAAAATACATGCATACAGAAACCCTCGCCTTGCTATACTAATATTTTTCATAATGCCATAGATTTATTTAATTTTTCAAAAACTTATTAATAATTCAGGAGCAAAACACAAAGAAAAATCATAAGCGTGTCGTGGTTTTATATGTGATAAAAAATCACGTTAATTTACATAAACTTTAGTTTTGATTTTCTCGGTTTAGACAAAGTTTATTTTTAAAATTACTTCGCTAATGAACTCGTATAAGATGAGTAAAACACTCCTACGCGTGCTTTAAATAGTACATAATTTACATATCTCGAGAACGAAAAAAGACAAGCTAGAAAAAGTTGTCCAGTGGACTTATTTTACAGTTTTAGGCTACATGCTCTTTCTGCCTAAAACGCTGACTTGAATTTCGTGTTTGGCATTGCAGTAAACTCGCCTGTTTTCATGGCCATACCCATGGGCAAATGTCACAGAAGACAAGACTTTGTCACAGAAGACTTTGTATAGAAGCAATTACGCCAACATTGAGGCAATTACGCCAAAGCTAAATAAGGATTTAAAGAGTTTCGAAATATTTTTATACCAATAAATTGCCCATATAAGTACGATCGACATATGCAGTGATATACTCAAATGCGCATATCAAACATAGACAAGCATTTCAAATTTATATCATTTTTAGGTCTGAATTGATATAAACATAAATATAAAGTCCATATAAACGCATGGAGGGATATAATATATTAATAAAATGCAAGTACTGCTATATCAAGAAATGCGATACATCGGGGCAGATCTCCCACAGCGGTCTGTAGTGTTGGCCTTTGCAAGATTTCTTATACAACAAGAAACAACGTTAGCATCATTTTATTGACTCTGAAACTCAAGGAATATGCTGTGCAATCGTTTATCTTTGGTTTAGGCTTTAGGACTGCCTCGTACCCAGGCGCTTTAAATAATTACAATACATGAAGTATTCAGGTAGGTAGGCGACGCGCGAAGGGGCTGTTGGGAAGGGTGCTTGCTGGGGAGCGCCTGGCAGTTCTTGTATACCGTCATGGCGGGAAAACATGGAATTTAATACAAAACGTTACCGTATCGTCATATACTCTGTGTGTAAACCTTATTTTTTGACGAAGAGTCGAATTGAACGCCATTGGCAAATAATAATAAATTTATAGATGTTTGATGACATCCAAAATGCGCGAAAAATTATAAAATGTGCGAGTAAATTACATGGCAAGTTTACCGTGCGAATATTTCGAATATGTCATTCCTTCGGTATTACATGGAGAATAATAGAATGCTATCAGTTGCTTAGTATAAAATAGTAACAGAGAGATGATTAGAAAGTCATATAATTGCTTTTGTATTAATAACTTCTATAGCTGAAGGCTCGATCTAGTCGATCACAATGCCAATGGCAATTTCTATTAAATGTATACTGTATTAAACAAAAGCCCAAGTAAAGAAAAATTTACAGCAGAATTAAAGTTTCTTTGAAATATTTATTACAACAGTGCAATTTTATAGTTTGTACCTTTATATAGTATAGCTTACAAATCTAGTTCCTGCAAGTCTAGTTCTTCAACGTTTCGGTTGTTGACATGTTAATATTGGAATTTCCATCCCATCCATCGAATTGTCGTTATAAAAAATTCCAATTTCGGTACAATAAATTTAAAAAATACGAAATGCAACAACTCTCCCTTCCAATGTGAACGCATCCCGATGACATTCTGATGGCTCCTAGCACATTTCTTGTAAATAGTTTATTTATTTTATGTGCAATATCAATATCTTGGGCGAATCAGCAAATAAAATAAATTTTAAAAAAGCTGTCCATAATTCTATCTACAAAGGTCAAAATCCGATAGAATAAATCCGCATGTTGTGACGCGAAATAGGTGGGGGGTCAGACAAAAAAGCGACATATCTCAATTGGAGCATGCGTAGTCTCAAATGTAGGAGCAAATTCAGAATCGCTTGACTGGGACGAACATTTCGATACTAAATTATTGTTGTTTCGTCCTAAATATCTGAAGGTGGCAAAATGCGTATTTCTACAATACGTCTGCGTGTAAACACAGCCGCTATCTGCGCATTTGGTTGTTCTTATATTGCCTGGTTTTAAAGAATTCTCGCTCAACTGGACGTATAATTAGCACATCATAAAGCCTGCCTCGTATCCAGGCGTCTCTTTGTAAAAAAAACAGTGATGCGCATAGGACGAGTTTACATGAAGTATTGTAGTGGGGATAGATGGGCGAAGGGGCTGATGGGAAGAGTGCACTTGAACTGCGAGACGCCTGGCAGTTCTTGGTCGATTTCTTGCAAGAAAGTCGATTTCTTGCAAGTTGTGATATTTCGTTGTCGTTTACGATTTTTTGCTACTTGTTTTTGTTGAATTGACTAATGTTAATATTCTTCTGTCATCTGGGCGTGA